AGGCTGCTGAGGGACACATGTTGGGAGGCTTTGGCTGAGGAGGAAATGGCAGGCATTTGCAAAGTGCTGGTGGGAAACAGGGTCAGGCCTGGCTGAAGGCTCAGGGTCCCTGCCCAGCTGGCCAAGGAGCCCCAGGCCACCTCCCTCCCCAAGAGGAGAGCCAACCCTCCCCTGGCCCTTGTCCTCAGCAGCCCCCTGTGCCGCAGCTGCTGTCTCTTTAAGGGCCTCCCCTCCCTCTTTCTCTGCTCCCCCCCATCTCTCTGTCGCAGCCGCTGCTGTGGCTCAGAGCTGCATGGGGAGACGCTGCTGCAGGTCCGGTTTCTTGGTGTCTGGTCGGTGCCATCATTTCCCCACCCTTTCCCCCGCCCTCCCCAAGCTGGTGATTTCCCCTCCCCCTCCCCCTCCCCACCGAGGGGGCAGGGGGCTGGGCATGAACTCTCTATAATGTCCCGTGTAGCCTCCCAGCCAGGCAACGGGGACTGTGACGGCAGCGAGAGGCGGGAGAGCAGTGCTGACCGCTGACCACTTGCCCGGCCGCTCCTCTGCCCTTCCCCCCTGCCCTCTCTCCCTCCCTCCCTCCCTCTCAGAGCTGGCACCACAGTCCCACCCCTCACCCCCTACCCGCCTCCTGGGGCCCTCCCAGCCTCTCCACGTAAGCCCCCCCCTCCCCACCTGCCTCTCTCCTTCCCCTCCCCCATCCGCATCCTCCTCCTGTACCCTCTCCCTCTGTCCTCTCACCAAGTCCTCCCCTCATCTTTCTCCCAACCCTCTGGCTGGCTTTCTCCTGCTCCCTTTCTCAGATCCTCCCTCTCCCCAGTCTCTCCCCATTTCCACAGTCTCAGCTCACTCCCTTTCTCTCATCCTCTGCCCGGACTCCCCCGCCTCATCCCATCCTAGCCCTGTCCCCTTTGTGCCCCTTTCTCTTTCTCTCTCTCCTGCCCCGGCTTGGTGTCCGTTCTCCACCTCTAACTCCCTTCAGCTCGGCCTCCCTGTCCCTTCACGGCTGCTCCTCTCCCTGCCCGAGGCCTGAGCCATCATGCTGACCCCAATGGTGGCTGGGGGGGTGGTGTTCCCCGGACTCTTCCTCCTCTCCAAGAACACGCTCCAGCGGCTGCCCCAGCTGCGCTGGGAGGAGGCTGACGCGGTCATTGTCTCAGCCAGGTAAACGGTATCCCTTCCCTTCCACCCCTCTTCCCTTCTCAGGCTTTATGGGGATGGAAGGGACTCCAGTGCTTCCATGGACCCTTGGCCTGGTGGCAACTGGGGGCTCCTGAAGTGGTCGGTGGGCTCTACCTCAAAGCTTCCTTCTCTCCTTACTGTCTTACTCGATGTCCCAGGAGACCTCATCCAAACCCAGCCATCTGGTTTACTAGTATTCAGACCGCTCTTCCCTTTCTCATTCACCCTCCCACCCTCCAAAACCAGGCCGGCATGTGACTAAAACATTCCTATAGGATATCAGGGAACAAGGCAAGGGGCAGAGAGCCATGTATTCTTCAGGGCATGTTTGGGGGAATGCGGGACAGAGGAGTGAATGGATGGGACTCTGTACAACCTTGGAATATGGGCCAGAGTTGGGAGGCAGCAAGGAGAGAGCGGGAAAGTGGCCAGGGGGAAATGGGGGCAGCTGAGGGGCCCGTGGATGACTGGTGTGATGACTGGGTAGCTAAGTGGTGCAAGAACGCACCTGGGGCATCCCCTTGCCATCTGTGCTGTGCCCCCTTCCACCACCCCACCCCAGGAAGGGGCCTTGTTATCAGCTACTCATTCCTCTCACCTCAAGATGACCTCCCTGGTGTCCTCCTGAGAGCAGGGCGACTCAGTGTGCACAACTGAGGGAGGAAGACGGCAGTGAGGAGTGGGTGACCTGAGTAGCCGCAGGGGGCCAGTCCAGGAGCCTTAGGTGGCAGGGCTGAGCCCTGGGCAAGGCAGCATTGGGAAAAGATGGGCAGGCAGTGACTTCAGAACCACAGTAACTGGACAGTAAAGAGGAGAAACCGAGGGGCGCATCCCCTCCCTCTACCACTGCTCCCTCTTCCTCCCTAGGCTAGTGTCCTCTGTCCAAGCTGTCATGGCCTCTACAGCTGGCTACATCGTCTCCACCTCCTGCAAGCACATCATTGATGACCAGTAAGTGCCATGAGACCATCTTGGCTCCCACTGCAGCAGCCTGTGTGTATGTATGACCGCTGAGTACCCCAGATCACCCAGGGGACTCCTCCAGTGGTCCCCAAGTCCTTAATTTGGGCCTGAGCAAGTTAGCTGCAGTAGCTGCAACTCAACACCCAGGGATAAATTTATCCACATCCTGTCCTTAAAGGTCAGAGCCAGGAGGGAAGGAGTGGGGAGCAAAAAGGATTTTCAAAGCATTTCCTAGGTTTCCTGGCCTCTTGGATCATAGTAGGTTCTGAATGTTGTTTCCTCCCCTAGCTCCTCCCACCTTTTCACCCCCTCAGACCCCACTTCCAACCAGCACCCACCTGGGGTGCTTCCCTACTCATGCCGGGCTCACCCCTCATCTCCTCCCAGAATCCAGGTGTCCAGCCCCGGTTCCATGCGTGAGAGGGAGAAATGACACAAACAAGGCCACTAATGGTTAGGCAGTGGGGGGAAGGGGAGAGTGGAGGGTGAAAGAGGCCAAAATTTGGCACTGGGAGCTGCTGCAAAGCCTGGTGCTTGCCAAAAAAGCCCAGGCCTAGAGGTGGGGCAGGAGGAGGGAGGAGAGGGGCCCTGTCCGTGGTGCTGACGGGCCAGCTCTAGGTTGACCCAAGGGCTGCAGCAGAGTTGCCTGGGAGGGTGCTGATGACGTCTCACGCTTAACTTCTGGCCCTGATTCCCTTCTCTGGCAGCTGCTGAGCCCCACGGACATTGTCTGGATGCCCCTGACCTAGAGGTGTCTCCTCTTTCCCTCCAGATGAGTTCCCTTATCTGTGGAGTGAGGTCCATCTCTACCTGGAAAGGCTGCTGTGAGGGGGAATTGAGTTATGTCAAATGCCTAGAGCAGCTCTGGTCACACACAGAGGATGCTAAACTCTTTCTTCAGACCCTGTTCTGGGCACTTGGCTTCCTCCTGCCTTCTCCCCTCAATTCCCACCCTGGGTCCAAGATGAGCCTGGCTCCCCACATTTCCTTCTCCCACCTTCTTACAAAGGTCACCTTCCAGCTCCTACATTTTCTTCCCCCCAGTCTCTTCTTGTCCCTCCCTACTTAATCCTCAGGTGGGTGGGAGGGATCAGGGTTAATCCAGGGGCGACAGCTGTTCCTACCTCTGAGTACCTAATTGCTGAGAAGGTGGGGATGGGTTTAACCCTTTGCACTGCAGCCCAGGACCTGAAGGTCCTGAACGCCTACAAGCCAGCAGTGTTTGTGTCTGCAGCAGCTGACTCTCTGGGCCACTCTCTGTTGTAACTTCTCTGAGGCCCATGGGACCCCTTTCTATCTTCCTGTCCTACGTCTCTAACCTGGGCTGTGGCTCCCTCTCCTCTCTCTCTCCCTCCTAGTCACATGCTCCAGCATGGGTCTCAGCTTCTCTTTTCCCAAAATCATTTCCTCTAGAGTAGGCTGCCTGTCCCCTCCCCAGCTGGCCATCCCCAGGGCTCCCCTTCCACTTCCCTCTCACCCCTGTCCTTAGCTGGCCTGCCCCCAGCTCTCACTCCACTTTTCCCTTCAGCGGTAGCTCCTCATATTTTTCCTATGTCCCTTCTGGCTGACTTTGCTTTCATCCCTCCACCGAGCGAGTTCTCTCAGACCTGCCTCTTTGACCTCCCACTCCCACCTCATCCCACCTTGGACCTGTCTCAGGACTACAGGACCTCATGCTTCATGTGCTGACTCAAGAAGAAACATGCAGTGTTGTATATTCATGCACTTTTCATTTTTGTTTACTCTCAAGGTACATGGAACTTTCTCTGCTCTTGGCTCCTTTTGCTCAGCGTTTTTTCCTTAATGCTTGGCTGTACCTGAAAAAAAAAAAACAAGAGATTGGGCCATATTCAAGCAGAACAAGTCACTCTGTCAGCACCACTGGCTGCCCATTGGGGCCTGTCTGTGACCCCTCTCTCGAATCTTCTAGGGGACAGTGGGGCTCAGAGTGAGGGCTATGGAGCTAGACCTCTTGTGTTTATTCCTTGGCCAGGTTACCTGGCCTCTCTCATCTGTAAAATGGGGTGACAACCATACCTCCTTTTTATAGGGTTTTTGTGGGGAGAAACACATTTATGCATGTAAAGGATTTAGAAGATCAGAATGGGGAGAGGATAGAGCTCAGTGGTAGAGAGCATGCTTAGCATGCACAAGGTCCTAGGTTCAATCCCTAGTATCTCCACTTAAAAACAAATAAACCTAATTATCTTCCTCCACCCCCCCACCCAAAAATAGGGCCTGCATGTGATAAGTAGTCAATTAATATTAGCCAATATGATCTCTCCCCACCCTCCCACCTCTGCTGTAATTCATCCTGACCTCAGCTGTCATTCAGATCTGGTGTGGCTTGTTTTCTACCTCTGCCTCTGGTCTGTGGCTGTCTTTTGGTCTCTCTTCCTTTTTCTCCCGCCATGTTGCAGATGAGAGAGAGAATATGATGAATGAATGAATGAATGAATGAATGAATGAATGAATGAATGAATATGAAGAATGGGTGGGTGCTGAGGTCAGTCTGGGTTTGAATCCCAGCCCTACTGCTTACCAGCTGTGGGACCGCGCGATCCTGGGCATGTTTCTCGCCCTCTATCCTTGGATTCCACCGTGTAACTTGACAGTCCGTTTCCGTCTCAGGTTTGTTATGAGTATCACTCGAGATCTGACTCCCATGATATGTCCAGCACCGACCCCAGCACCTGGAAGCTGCCCTGTCTGTCTCTTTTCCACCTTGACCCTTCTCTATTTCTGCCCAACAGGCACTGGCTGTCTTCCGCCTACACGCAATTTGCAGTGCCCTACTTCATCTATGACATCTACGCCATGTTCCTCTGTCACTGGCACAAGCACCAGGTCAAGGGGCATGGAGGGGATGAAGAGGGGACCAGAGCACCGGGCAGCACCTGGGCCGTGGCACGTGGCTACCTGCACAAGGAGTTCCTCATGGTGCTCCATCACGCCGTCATGGTGCTTGTATGCTTCCCGCTGTCGGTGGTGAGTGGGGGCTGCTGAGAGCCAGGGCCCCATGTCCTGCTCAGGTCAGAACTGCAGGAGCCTAGGAAGCCTTGGGTCCCAGCAGCAGGGTGGGCCCAGGATGGAGGGTCCCCATGGAGGGTTTACTGAGCTCCAGACCAGTCCCAAACAGCAAGAGAGTGGACCATGCCCAGCTGTGATGCTTGGGAGCTGCAGTTGTATGACTCTGAGCCCCAGGTCCATCATCTGTAGTGTCAGATGTACGATTTCCCCTGCAGGTGGGTCAGAGGGATACAGTGAGGCAGTGCTCCGAGCTTTGCCACCATTCCCATGTGCTCAGACTGTCAGAGTGAAGCACCTCCAAAAGTGACGAAGAGGAGAGAGGGAGGGCAGGTACTGCCGGGAATCCAGGGTCAGGCCTGGCTGGCTGTCTCCTTCCTCTCCTCTCAGGTGTGGCGTCAAGGCAAGGGAGATTTCTTTTTAGGCTGCTTGCTGATGGCAGAGGTCAGCACCCCTTTTGTCTGCCTTGGCAAGATCCTCATCCAGGTGAGAGGGGAGCTAAGTGAATGTGAACTTGGTGGGGAGGACAAGGGAAGGGCGGGCACTTTTAGGGAACCTTCTGGGATTCTTTAAAGGACAGGTAAAGAGTCTCCTTTTGGAGGGGCTATAAGGTGAGGTACAGGGGAGGTGGTAGGTGGAGGCGGGGCGGGTTCTGGGGCCTCTAACCTGACCCCTGTCCCGTGGTGGGAAGGCAGGGAGGTGGGCAGAGGGGGAGGCGGCCCAGCGGGCTGAGCCGGGTCCAGGGCCGAGGCTCCCGGCCCTGACCTGGGCGCCTGCTCTACCCGCCCCGCCCGCCCTGCCCGCAGTACAAGCAGCAGCACACGCTGCTGCACAAGGTGAATGGGGCGCTGATGCTGCTCAGCTTCCTCTGCTGCCGGGTGCTGCTCTTCCCCTACCTGTACTGGGCCTACGGGCGGCATGCAGGCCTGCCCCTCCACGCCGTGCCGCTCGCCATCCCGGCCCACGTCAACCTGGGCGCCGCGCTGCTGCTCGCCCCGCAGCTCTACTGGTTCTTCCTCATCTGCCGAGGGGCCTGCCGCCTCTTCCGGCCCCGGGGCTCCCGGCCGCCCTCTCCCTGCCAGACCCAGGACTGAGGGTGGGGCCAGGGGGCCCTCCTCACTCCTCCCCCACCCCACCACCGTGGGGCCAGGGCTCTGGGGCTGCCCGGTGGGGATGGGAGCCAGAGGCCTCTTACCCTGACAGCCCCAGGACTGACAGATGGACTCCAAAGGGGTGGGGACATATCCCCTCTGGGGCTGAGGGCAGGGACCAAGTGAGATGGAAGGCAAGGAGAGGGGACCTCTTCTCACAGTGCCTGAGCTGAGGCAGGCCCCCTTCTGCATACCCCTCTCTCCATCACCACCCCCGGACCTGGAAACGGAAAGGAAGAGGAAGAGGAAGAAGGGCACCCCTTCCCATCCGCTTAGGGCTTGAGGCTATGGGGAGCCTGAGGGGACCGGGACTCAAAGAACTGTGGGGAGGCCCTGCTGCCAAGGCCATCCCAGCCCCTGTGCTGCAAACTCCTCTCAGCTCCCCTTCATCTGGGAAGGAGGGGCCACCCTTTCTAACTCTGTGCGCTCGCTCGGGGCTGGCTGTCCCCATCGCTCCTCTCCAGGGGAGGCCAGCCTGAGGAATCTTATTTATTTTATTTATTCACCCAAATTCAAACTTGTTTGTTGGGGCGGGGGGAGGGAATTGGCTGCTACCCCCCAGCCTTCCCAGTGCTGAGCAACCCCCGGGGCAGGTGGAGGGGGGCGCCGGTCCCTCCCCCATTAGGCTGCACATCTTGCCCTCGGGCCCTGGCATGTCCCTGGTGCTACAGACCTCTCAAGGCTTCCTCCAGTCTGGGGTCGGGGGACCCTGGGAGGTGCTTTACAGACCGCTAATAAAGATGATCTGCGTGAACGCCACCAAGGCCCTCTTCACTCAGTTCTTTGGGGCTGGGAAGGGAGGGGGCCCCTGGGGAAAGTATGATGACCTATGACTCCCAGGTTGGTCACTGAGTAGTTGGGGAGAAAGAAGCAAGGACTTTTTTATTCATCAGTGGAAGAGGAGGGCAGGTGTGGGCATTCAGAGCAGAGTCCAGGGAGCTTGTCCAACTTTCTAGGCCCCTTTCTGGAAGTTCCTGTAGGGTATGGAGAGCAGGGGTGGGAAGTCACACCACTTCCCTGAGACTTTGGGTCCTTCAGCCTCTCTTCAGGAAGGCTGAGGTGGGTGGGGCCAGGGATGGGGGTGGGGCAGGCCTCACATGTGTGTGCAGAACTGGAAAAGAAGGAAGAAGAAGGCCGCCACCAGAGCGCCCACCAGGATGTGATGGAAGAGCCTGGAGTCGGAATCTGCTAGACAGTGAGGGGGAGACAGGGACCTGGACTCATCTCCAACCAAAAGGCCAAGGGCAGCTGTCCACCAGGCACTGTCAAGGAGGGAGGCCCCTTCTCAAACTGGTTCATACCTGAGTTAAAGATGACAGGTCTCTCTCCAATGAACTGAGCCAGGGCCAGGAGCCTGGCTTGGTCCGAGTCTGGGTAATCAAAGAAGTCAGGTCTGTCTAGGAAGAGTGGAGACTCTGCTCCTGGGGCCAAGGCCTTGGCACTCTCCGGGTTGGGTGCTGGGGACCAAGAGCAAAGTCTGAAAGAGCCAAGCAGACCCCTGCCCCCTACTCCCAGAGGCTGGGGCAGACCCAGGGCCCTGCCAGGCCACACGGTCTAGTGAAGCTGTGGAAGGGCCTGGTTTTGTTCCAGGAACTTCTGGAGGGTCAGCCTAGCCTTCCACCAAAAGGCCCACACTAGGCAGGAAGGATAGGAGAGAAGTGCGGAAAGCAAAGAGAAAGGCCCGTGCTTGGCCTCCCAGCTTCTCAGGGGCATTGACACTCCCCCACCGAGCCTTCCTCCTCCCCACTATTCCCAGGCCAGCTTCCCACCTGATTCTACAGTCCCCAGCCCAACCAGCCACACCCACACCCAGGCCCACTGCCACAGCCTCATCACCCCTCCACTCTTGTGATGGGGTAAGGGCTCTGTGATGTCACAGCCTAGAGCCATTCTGATTGCACATTCTGGGGTGAGGGGAGAGAGGAAAGTGTTAGGCCTGGGACCCTTCCCTACAAACCCCTGCATCCGAAGGGAAGAGGCTGGGACCCACGGAGTCTTTGGGTTGATGCTGATGTTAGAACAATAACAGTGGAAGCCCCAGGACTTACTAATAGGGGCCTTGGTGGGGCAGTCTTGCTGAAAGCTGGGACTAAGGAAAGCTGCATTTGTATAGCAGGCACAGTGGATTTCAGGGGGGAATGGGGGACAAGGTTAAACATCTCCAGTTACCCCTTGGATCAACCACAGTTAGAATTTATTGAGCACTTGTCCTATGCCAAGTATTTTACATGGACAGACTCATTTAACCGTCATAACACCGTACAAAGTAGGTGCTACTGCCCTCATTTTACAGAAGAGGGAATCAAGGCATAGAGGGGCAAAGTGATGTGGGCAACATACACTTCCTAAGGGTGTGCATTTTCCTCCTTGAGGCTCTTCCTGCCTTGTGTCCTCAAATGCAGGAGCACAAGGGTGCCTGCTGCACCCCCTCATCCCCCCCGCACCCCGGGGCCAATCTCCCAAACTGGCCTCAGTGCTCAGCTGACAACCCTGGGATTAGGAACCTAGAGGAATAACAGGCTTTCCCACTAGGTGGCAGCAGTGTCCATGCCTGCCTGTTTCCCAGTTTTTACCCAATGAAGGCACAGCTGCCCAACTCCAGGCCCTCCCGCCTCTTCCCACAGGTTGCATCAGGTGCTACAGGAAAAGGTACTGCTGGGGGAATGCAGGCATGGAGGTTGTCAGAGGAACCCATCTCGGACAGGTCTCTTGGTCACGCACAGAGCCTGTGAACAGGCTCCTCTCTCTGGGTAGGCCATCTCATCTCTCCTTTCTGATTCCTGCTTTTCCCTTATTTGTCACTTCCCAGCAGCCACTTTCACCTGAGCGTGCTCCCCTCAGCAGGCTAAGAATTAGCTCCTCTCTGATTGGAAGGTAGACCTGTTTGTCACACATGTGTCCCGCCCCACTCAAGCCCAAGGACACTTCAGGGTCTCCTTAGTTTTACTACACAGATGCTTGTGCAACAGCTTCTGACAGTCCCAGTTCCATGACATCCCATGTGTGACGTCCTCTGCCCTTTGGAAGGAGGCTCCTTCCTCCACTCAACCCCCACATCTCATCTTTCTTGCCCTCAGCGACTACTCACCCATTCTCATCACAGCAAGCCTGGGAGGAACTTGCCAGGGTCAGCTTCTACTTCCTAAACCAGGAAAAGGCACAGGGAGAAGAAAAAGGGGCAAAGAGGAGGCAGACTAATATCTATGGAGCCTCCTGCGAGACTGGCTCAGGCGGCCCTCCTTCCCCACACTTATCTCTTCTAAGAAAGAGGAAATGACTGACCCAAAGTCACAAGCAGGTGAGGGGTGGCAGGGACTCAACCTGGTTCCTGGCTCTGGCCCGGGGCTCCCACCCCAAGCCTGTATGTAGCTGCCCTCGGGCTTAGCTGGGAGAAGGGGTCCAGGGTCTTTAGTCTAGCCTTTGGAGTGGATTTTGCAGTTTCCTCAACTGCCTCAAAATAATACAGCTGCCCTCTTTACCAGAAAAGGCCCTTTTGACACAAGCAGTGAATTATCCATTCATTTATTCCTCCAACCATTAAATAAATGCACTGAGCTCCTGTTATGGGCTGGGTTCCATTTACGGCTTAGATAGAAATCACTAGGTCATGGTCTCTGCCCTTGGGGACTACAGGGAGAGAACTCAGGCAGCATATCATTAGAGTGTAGACAAACCACCCCTAAGGGGCTGTCTACACTGCTGTCATCACTCCCTCACCTGTAATGTATTCGTCAACCCCTTCAGACCTGGCTTTGTCCCCACCACTCCACTTAAGGCACTTTTTCCAGGTCCACAAATGACCCCATAACTTGCTAAATCTAAACGCAACTTCTCTGTTGGTTCTGTCTCTTGGCAGAGTGCACACATCCCTGCCTCCAGGCATGGGGGCCACGCTCACTGATTTTCTCGACTCCTCCTCCTCTAAGTAGCTCAGCTTGGACCTTCTCTTTTCTATCTATACCCTCTCTCCCAAGGTGATCTCATCTAGTCTCATGGCTTTAAATACCATCTATATGCTGGTGACTCACAAATGTATATTTCCAGCCCAGCCCTCTCCTCTGAGCTCTAGACTCTTTTACCCGACTTCCTGCTTCATGTCTCTGTATGTCTGAAAACATCTCGAACTCCATAGACCCTAAATGGAGCTCTGGATTCTCCTATCCCAAACCTTGCTCCTTCATTCCATCACAGCAAATGTCTCACTCTTCCTCTAGATGCTCTGCTCAACACAAACACGTAGGAATCATCTCAAACCTCTCCCTATTTCTCTCCTGACAAACCCATAATCAAGACCTGCTGGCTCAATTCCTGACATACATCTCAAATCCATCCACTTCCCTCTCCCTCTGCCCCCTCTTCCAAGCCAACCCCACGTCTCATCTGGCTTATTGCAACAGCCTGTGGACCAGTTGATATCTCTCTGTTCACTCTTTCTTCAGCGAGAACAAACCAGAACACACAGATCCACTGCTGAGAACCGTCCAGTGGCTTCCCATAGGTCCTGCGTTATTCTGAACTTCTTACCCTGATCTGCAAGATTCTTGTCTACCTACCCAGCTCAGCTCTTCTCATGCTTCCCTTCCTCAGCACACCCTAGCCTTTGCACACACATCTACCTATGACACTCTGGCCCCACACTTGACCTGGGAGGCCTGGACCAGAGCCAGGAACTAGGCTGAGTTCCTGCTGCCCCTCGCATGCCGTGATTTTGGGTAAGTCCTACTCATCTTCCAGGTCTCAGCTGAGACAACACTTCACCTGGGAAGTGAACCTGAGTTCTCTGACATCCCCTGTCACTGCATCAGTCTCACTACATTGGAGTATTTTTCTATCTCCCCTAGAAGCCTGTGAAGCCAGAGATCATTGATCTTGGGTCATAGCTGGAGCACCACAATATATAGTAGGTATTCAATAAATATTTATTGGCTTAATGGATGGGTGAAAAACCTTTCCACCTCTGGACAAACTAAGGCCCAGCCCTGTCTGTGTTTTCCCCTACCACTGGTTGGAACTCCAGCCTCATCCTCACCCTCCTTCAACAAAGCTTTGTGGAGGTACGCTGCTGAGCCTGAGCTAAGCCCCAGAAGAAAGCAGCGGAGGAAGCAGGACATGGGCTTCTTGCCTAGCTTGCCCCTCCTCCCACAGCAGGCCCAGGTCTGCCTGTCACCACTCCCACCCACTCTGGTCCTGGACAGCATCTCCCTTAGTACTGCCTCCTTTTTTATCCTGAAGAACCTCGAAGGAAACCTAATAGTTGCCTTTCCTTACAAAAGATATTATTTTAGTACATTTGTTTGAGTAGGTAACATATGCACATGGTACAAAATAAATCTTTCCTATTCCAGCCCTACTCTGCCTCACAGTGGCCTCCTCAGAGGTCACCATAGTTACCACTTTCCTGAGTAGCCTTCCAGAAATAATTTATGCACAAATAAACAAACATATTTAAGCTCTTTTTTTCCCCCACTCAAATGTTAGCATTCCATTCATGCTGCTCTGTACCTTACTTTTTTCAGTTAACATGAGATTGTAAAGATGATTCCATGCAAGTACATAAAGGGCCTCTTCCTTAGTCATGACTACATGTTATTTCATTGTGTGAAATTGTGTCATAACTGATTAAACCTGTCATAGGTATTTAGGTTGTTTCCAATCTTTTGCCATTGCAGACACGATGCAGTTAATGACCTTGAACTTCTATTTTTTTGTTCATGGGACAGCAAATCTATAGGATAAAATAAAAAATAAAATAAAAAAGTGGAATTTCTGAGTGGCTACTGTCAGACTGGCCTCCACCAAGGTGGTGCCCATTTACCCATAGCCTCACCAACATTTGCTTTGAATTTTACCATTTGATAGGTGACAAGTGGTATTTATTTCAGTGTGGTTTGATTTTGCATTTCCCTTACTTAAAAAAAATTGGGGTAAAAATCCACATATGAATATTTCTGTCTTAGTCATTTTCAAGCACACATTTCAGCAATGTTAAGTATATTCACATTGCTATGCAACCTAAAATCACAGTATTTAGTGATGCCAACCTAGTGCCAGGCCCAGCTTGGGGCAGCCTCTGCTCCTTGATAGCAGAGGAGACCACCAGGCCTGGGGGGGCTGTTCCAGTAAGTGTCTTAGGAAGAGGTGGCCCAGAATGACCCTGAAGAAAAGAAAGATCTTCCAGGCTGAGAAACTTACGTGAGCAAAAGCCTGGAGGTCTGAGAGATCTAGGTGTGTTCTAGGAACTACAAGTAATGTTCCTGAGAGCCAGCAAGATGAGTAAGGGTGAGGAGATCAGAGATGTCAGGGTCTTGGACTGAAGGGTCTTAAAGGCCACTGTGAGGACTTTGTCTTTGTGGGCTGGTAAGTTTGGGGCAAAGAAGAGCAAAGATCAAAGGCTGGAGTTAAGACTGACAGGCAGACATCAGGGTTCAGATGAGACCGGCAGTCAGATAAGGAAGGGTGGTAGGGCTCTGGGGCTTTCAGAGCGATGCCACATGCCCTGCCTTCTAGAGATGGGAGAGTGAGGGAAGGTGGATTCCCAAAGGAGAATGCCATCCCGGAGAAGGGGACTCGGGCCCTCGGGAGCTGGGGTGGGTCACAAAGAGAGAAGCCTGAACAGCCTAAAGAAGGCGCGGGGGAGGCGGGGAGGTCACAGCCTCGAACCCCAGACTGTGAGGTTCCCCAACTGGGATCTGGGACCCCGAGATCCCAAGCCAGCGACTGCAGGCAGATCAGAACCCCTTCCCTTGCCCGCTCTTGGGTCACTGCGGATCTCTAAGCCCCGCCTCGCAGGCCCCACCCCTACGGATATTAGGAGGGGAGGGCCAGACACCCTCCCTCCTCCTAGGAGCGCTCTCTGAGGGGGAGGGGGTGAGGACGCATGGGGGGGCAGGATTAGCCGACGTCGCCATGGCAACTAGGCTGGTGGTCTGCCCTGGAGAGCCGGGAGGGAAGCAAGGAGAAAGCAATGGAGGGAGGCACCGTGGGCTCGGTGCGGAGGCGAGGCCGGAGCCGGGGTCTCCAGGGAGGAGTTGGGGAACACCGGGCAGTTCTCAACTGTTGGTTCCCGGTGGCGCAGGGAGCCCGTGTGTTTGTGCGTGTGTGTATGCGAAGTTCTCCGGGGTGAGTGTGCCAGCGCGTGTCTGGGTTTGTGCATGAGTGTGAACGTGAGCACGTGGGCACTGGCGTGTGCGCGGGAGTGCCTGTGCAAGATGCGTGTGCTAGCCCGCCCGTGTGTGTGTGTGTGTGTGTGCACTTGTGTGCGCTCCCAAGTGTGCCCGGGAGGGCGCCGGAGGGAGAGTCCTGCCCCCTCCCCAGCCTCCGGCCGTCCCTCCCCGCCCCCCGCCGCCTGCGCCGGCTGCATCCTCGCCTCCACCTCGCTCACCCCCTCCTCCCCGCACTTTCTCCAGCTCTCCCTCCCTCTCGGCTCAGACTGCCGGACTCCGCGCTCTTCTCGCCGGCCGCCCTGGGAATCGCCGGCCGCCACCGCCCAGCCCGCACCCGCTGTCCCCCCAGTGCTTGGGCACCTGTTGGAGGCGCAGAGGCAGGTGCAGGGGGCTGGGCTGCCAGGGGCGAGAGGGTGAGGGTGAGTGTGTGTTAGCTTGTATGTGCCTCCGGGGGTGTTCAGCTCTCCGGAGGCTGCAATTTCTGGCTCCTCTGGAGAGCCAGTCTCAGCAGAAGGCATCTGAGCCAGGGGTCCTCACTTTGGGCTGCAGAGGGTGGGGGACCAGGCAGGCAGGCAGGCAGATCCTGGGTCTGAATGAAGAGACAGTGGGAAGTGAAAACCTCAGGGGTGACACACAGGCTGGACAAGTGCCTGATGCAGAAGGATAGACAGAGCCTCAGAGAGACAGAGGAGGGGGCCTATGGGGCTGCTTCAGGGGTAGGCAGGACCCAGGGGAGACAAAAGCCCAGAATGAGGGGCAGGAGCCGGGGAGATGACAAAGGGACAATCTAGAGGTAAGTGGGCAAGGCTGAGGTGGAGCCGGGACCTATCTGGGGGGAGTGGGCCGGCATCCCAGCCCCTGTAGCACACAGCTTGGGGTCTGGAGGGCCCAAGCCTTCTGCCTGCCTGGCAGCTGGCATAGGCTGCCCCCTCCCTCCTCATCTAGGAAGGGAGGTCAGTGAAGCCAGACCCCTGAGATTGCCACCTGGCCCTTGGCCAGCAGCCGGTAGATATGAGGAATCAGCCCTGGGCTCACGCTCTCTCAAACCTCCCTTCCCCAGCCAGGGGTGCTGCATGAGGGGCCGCAGGGGCGACCGCATGACCATCAACATCCAGGAGCACATGGCCATCAACGTGTGCCCCGGGCCCATCCGGCCCATCCGCCAGATCTCTGACTACTTCCCCCGCCGGGGACCAGGACCCGAAGGGGGTGGTGGGGGCTTTGGAGAGGCCCCTGCTCATCTGGCTCCCCTGGCCCTGGCACCCCCCGCAGCCCTCCTTGGGGCCACCACACCCGAGGATGGAGATGAGGTGGACAACTATGACTCGGATGATACCAGTGAGTTTGGGGGATTGAAGGGCCCAGGGTGCTAATGGGGGTCTCCAGGCTTGTGGGAAGGGGATGGGGCTGTGCTAGGGGGTGGGGAGGTGGCGGGCACTGCTGCCCAGCTGCAGTTGGAGTGGAGATTACAGCTTCAGCAAGGCTCAGTATTCAATATTTCTGCTGAGACACTCAACCACCCACACAGCCCAGTTGCACCCCAGCCAGGGACCCAGACGCGCACACATTCGCAGGCTGACAGACACAGACACGCACACACCTTCACAGCTGGCACACGTAGCAGGCCTGCCCACCCGTCTCTCACACACACCTGTCTTTATGCACGGACTCATTCAGGCTACCTCTTCCCTCTTCTCCAGCTGCCCTGGGCACGCTGGAGTTTGACCTTCTCTACGACCAGGCTTCTTGCACTCTGCACTGTAGTATCCTCAGGGCCAAGGTGGGTACTCCCTGCCTCCCAAGCTCTGGCCCTGTTTGCCTCCCACCCTGGGAGGGCGGTTTCCATCCTCCCTTCCCTTCCTGAGCCCTGACTCCTGCTCCCCTACCTCCCCAGCAGCATTCTTGGCTCTCCACCCTCCAAAGGTCCACTCTGCAGAGGGAGGGAGGGAAGGCGGGCAGGCTGGGAACTCACAGCCCTCTTCCCTCCCCTTCTCCCCAGGGCCTCAAGCCCATGGATTTCAATGGCCTGGCCGACCCCTACGTCAAGCTGCACCTGCTGCCTGGAGCCTGCAAGGTAATGGGCTCCTTGCCCCCCAAGCCTAACCCAGCTTGTCGGTCTGTCCCCAACTTCCCCTGCCTTCAGCCTCTGTGGGTCTGGGGGAATGTACTGAGAACCCTTGGTCCCCACATCTTAGGCCAATAAGCTAAAAACTAAAACTCAGAGGAACACACTGAATCCCGTGTGGAACGAGGACCTGAC